CGTGAAATCTTTACAGTCAACCTCGCCCTGAGAGACTGTCATTTTGGTGGCAGGTCCTATGCTTGAGGAGGGCTGAAAAAAAAAATGCTACAGGACTTTGGGGTGGAGTGTATTTCAAGGGGATTGAGGATAGTCACCTGCTGAAAATATCCCTCCTCCTCTGTGGGTCTACTAATCCTAACTGGCCTGTTTGGCCCCTTTTTTTTCTGGCCACCATTTTTGTTACCTATCGTTCTGCATTCCTACACAGGTCAGAACTTCCTCATTAATCAGAGATAGGAGCCCAACCCTACAAGGTGCCTTTTAAATCAACCAAGAGCAGAAAGCCTGATGACCCTGGGAGGGTATGCATCACAAGGTGTGATCAGGAACGCCTGGGTGGCTGTGGACTGCTGTATGACAAGGGACCCCAGAAGCTGGTCAGTGGAATGCCTTGATAAGATTGCAATGCTGGCAGGGCAACTAGGGCTTGATTTCAATCTCAATATGAGTCATCAATTAGATGAGATGCCTGGGGGGTGGGGTGGGGGGCAGACTCAGACCCGATACTAAAGATGACACAGCACAATTTCTAGTTTCACCCTCCCTTTTCCCTCTGTCCCCCCCAACACCTGGGTGCTGCAGGATTATTCTAAGTATAAAAAGGCCAGGACCTTGGCTCTTTCAGCAGCATCCAGCATTGCGTAGCCTGCTCCACGACTCCTGTTTATCAGTGTGGTGTTGACGGCCCCACACTCCATCGCATAGAATTTATGAGTGAAATGTATTTTTTTGTTGTTAGAAGAAACACAGTACCTTTAAATCATCTATGTAGTGTACATATTAGTGTAAATCTGCATAAACACACCTGTGCAAATGTGTATATTTTGAATCTATGGCCTATTTCTAACCACAGCATCTTAGTACCATGCCCGAGGAGCTGCCTGAAATCAGCTGATCAGTATTAACATATCAAGAATTAGCTGAAGGGCTAGAAGGAAAATGTGCAGGGCAGCAGTTAGTATGTGTTGGACATATTTGGGATTGATGAATAGAAAGCCCCTAGCTTTCACAGTCTAGTGACACTGTCCCGGTTGCCACGGTGCTTGCTGTCCATCTTCACACTGACACTTGAGTGTGGAATCTGTGGCAAAGGGCTCTTGACCTTGAAAGTCCTTGTTCCAGATCTGAACACAACCTAGTTCAAGGCAGCCACTGGTGAGGGTAGGAAGGACGGGAGTGAGGATCTACTCCCACACGAAGACCAATGAATCGTCCCAGGCACACCCCTAGAATAAACTGTCCAGAAAAGATAATCCCTTGTGAAAAGCTGCATCATATTTGTGACATCTGGAGGGGCTACCTTTACCCAGTTGGTACTTACTAGCTTCAAGCCAGTGGAACAAACGTACAGCCCATCATGTAGATCCTACACTACATTCCCTTCGGAGCTTTTGTCCATTATTATCCTCTCAAACTCCTCATCCCAAATCAAGCATCTGTTCCATATTTGGCACATAATAAATGTTCACTGGTTACTTATTGAATAAGTGAATAGATGACATAAAAAGGAGGGAGAAGAGCACCCAGAAACCAAAATAGGAAGAATAAATAGGCATAATAGGTCTTATACACCATTCACCAATGTGGCCACCCCCTGTGGTCTTGAACATGTTAACACAGAAGGCATTTGGGAGCATGGGTGTGGGCATTTGTAAGTGTGCACATCTGAGCCTAGAGACCAGGGACATAAGGGTGGCATCATTCAGAGACAGAG